ACTGTTTGTAGAGTCTTTGTACTAAGGAACGTTTGCTTTGAGAAGATCTCAAAGCAGAAAAGCAGAAGATGAGAAGTACAACTACCTCATCCATCCCAGGAGAGGAGAAAGAAGCCGCAAGGGCCGGGAGGGTGGAGGAGGGTATATAAGGAAATGCTGGTGCCCAGCTGCAATCCACGTTAGTGTGGCTTGGGCAGGTCACATAACTTCTGAGCTGCAGATTTCGTGGAATAAGACTACCACAGGGACTTTTGCCATTTCCAGAACAGCTATTTTTTACACATATCATCTCATTTCATTCCCACACACGAATCCACTGGCTCTAGTTTGCAGGTGGGTAGTTGAGACCTTGACAAGTTAAAAGACCTTGAGCTGCATTTTGCACTAATTCTCTGAGTCCAGATTGTGATCTCTTTCCCCCTTATACCTCAGAGCAAGTAGACTCCCTTGTTTTTTGTTTTTTCTTACCTCTGCGTTGATGGTTTATTGGTGGTAGATGTGGCATCCTAAGGAATTCCTTCACACTCTCCCAAGGGCCTGGGCACTGTCCCTGGGTTCTTTTGCTCAAGGCTAACACTCTTCCACTTTGAGCCTCATCGCCACTCTGGCTTTCAGGTAGTTAGAAATAAGAGTCTCACAGACTTTCTTGGCTTTGAACAGTGGTGCTCAGATCCTAGCTTCCTAAGTAGCTTGGATTACAGGTGTGAGCCACCAGCACCCGGCTCTCTTCTCTTTTTATATATATCAGATTTTGTTTTAAATCGTGCTGAGATACACATAACATAAATCTTATCATCTTAGCCATTTTTAAGTATGACACCATGATGGCTAGAGCCACTTGCGTGCTCTACCATCTGTTGGTCCATTGTGGTCCTTGGGATCTGGAGGTAATGCTGCTGCATTGAAGGCTGCAAGCCTCCGGCAGGCACTGTGGATGCAGTATAGGATGGTATCTCTCACCTTGGGATTTGCCGCTCTCCACGATTGCTGGAACAATGTTCCCCAGTGCCAGTTCTGACCTTCTGACACGTAAGACCTTTCACTTGCTGGCCTGCTTCCTTTGTCTTGAAGTTGGTGTGGTTGATAACTGCTGAAGGTCAAGGGATTCTGTGAGCATGTTACTGAAATGAGACATTTGCAGTATCAGCATTGTATTATTTCCCCTGCCAGGAGCCTTCATATCTTTTCCATTTGGTTTGTCTGATCGCTTTTTTCTAGCCTGGGACTTAGCCTTGAGGAGATTCCTAGAAAACTGCCACCCGCCAGCCTTCGTCCATGGGAAGGTTGGGTAAGAGTTCAGCTCTGGAAGCTGAGAAATGGAACTGGAGCCATGGATGCATGCGTGACTCTGTGGTACCTTGGGCTAGCTCCAGAAGTCCCGGGCTGGCTGTGGGCTGGCTGATGGGTGCATGAGAGGGCTTCAGTCTCGCTCTCAGGACTCGTGTGCGCTCATCTAATGGAAGGAGACTTTTTTTTTTGTCGGTTGTGGGGCTTGAACTCTGGGCCTGGGCGCTGTCCTTCAGCTCTTCAGCTCAAGGCGAGCGCTCTACCACTTGAGCTACAGCGCCACTTCCGGAAGGAGACTTCTGTAGCATTGGAAGGTCTTGGGGAAAAGTGTGGATCCATTCCTGGACTCAGTACCCACTCCTGAGGCGTCAGTGCTGCGGGACCATTGTGAGGCTCTGGAAACCCCTCGTGGTGAAGGGAACCTGAGTGGCCACTTTCCACGTCAGTCACAAGTCATTGGTGTTTTACAGAAATTGTATGGAAGGGGCCCCCAGTTCATGCCAAGAAGAGGGGGTGTCACCCTTTCCCACTATGAGTTTCTTCTCTGAATGGCAGTGGTTCGTATACATTTGAACTTTATGGGGGGCACTGGTGGCTTATACTTGTAATTCTAACTGCTAACGAAGGCTGAGATCTGAGGATCAAGGTTCAAAGCCAGCCCAGGCCGGGAAGGCCCATGAGACTCTTCAATTAAAAAGCTGGAAAGTAGTAGAGTGCTAATTTGAACCAAAAAAGCTAGGGATAGCACTTAGGTCTTGAGTTGAAGCCCAGTACTGACACCAAAAGGAAAAAAAAAAGAATTTCATATATATGTATTTTTAGCTAGCTTTGAGTTCCAAACACCAATCAGCTAGGGATGTCTCCAGTGGCAGGGAGCAAAAAATCAGTTTTGCCACCTTGCCAGTCTGCAGCTGCTGGACCCAGAGCCATTTAGCCTTCCTCTAGATAATCCCTTGTCTCCAGATTGAACCAGAAGTAGTTGGCACTAGATAAATAATGACAGTACTAAGTTCTTAGAGGTCAAAAGAAAAGAGTTTTTAATTTTTTTTCTTCCTCCTGGGTTTTTTGCAACCGGAAGCCCAGTTCTCAATATATACTTCATATTCCTTACATCTTCTAACAGACAAGGAAAGACCATCCAAAAGATGAAACTGGAGTATGGAGCTGATGAGCCCACAGGCTTTACAATGAGTGTGGCAGGGACTCTTAGTAAAGAGAATTCTTCAGTTACAACAGGGACCAGAAATGGCAGTGCCAGTTCCAATTTCTGTCCACCTCTAGAGTTCAGATTAGGGGACCTTGGAGCAGAATGGCCACAGAATAGCGATCAGCGGCTTAAATATGTTTTTTAAAAAAGTGCTGTGGAAATCTGAAGGTAGATTTCTATCTTGCAGAGAAGTTTCCTTATCTAAAGCACTGGATTTATCCACCCTCAGTTCCTTACATTGGCTCCATTCTCTCCCCCCCATACACACACACACACACTTGGTTTTCAGCAAATCAAGGTCAGGATAAAGAGGAGATTTGGATGGCAGTAAGCTGGATCTTCAGGCTTCTGCTGTAATACTCAATTATTGAATTCTCTAGAAGCATGAACTCCTCTGTAATGAAGTCCTCTGTTTTTAAATATCTTTATAAGTCAGGCCATTCTGCATTGGCAACAACTAGCTTGCTTGTCTCCTACTTTGTTATGTTAAAAGAAAAGAAAAAAGATGGTTAAAAAAAAAAACCCTGGGAGCTTGCTGGGTGGTTAAAGATCATTTAAGCATCTTAATGTATGCGGTTCTCACCACAACTTTGAGCCTTAAAGACACACGCCACGCCCCCCCCTCTCACCCCAATTGTAGTGGGACAGGATTCAGTTGGGAGAAGTCAACTGAGCTGGCTACTTTTGTCCTTGAACTTGAGGGGGGGACAGGGGGGAGGCAGTTCTTTTACTTCAAATATAGAGGAATAAAACAAAAAGGTTCAATTCCAGACCACTGCAAGAATGTGAAGTCGCACAGTTTTTGGTTTCCCGGTGCATCCAGAAAGTAGGCATAACACTATAAGGAGCAATAGCATTGCGCATAAGCAAAAAGGCAAATCTTAACTTGAAAATATTGTGGGAAAACGCCAACAATCATCTGAACTGTTGGGAAAATGATGCCGATAGACTTGATGAACACAGGGCCGCTAGAAACCTTTAATTCATTTCAGAGGGGAAACAAAACCACCTGCAGGATCTGTGAGGCTCCGTGCAGTGAGTCACTGACATAGGGTAAACCTGTATGTGCACGCTGGAGTACTTGACATTCATTCTCTTGCTGCTAGAAGTATTTTTATGCAGCGGCTCTCTTGTGAGGGAGTGTGTGTGTTCTCCCTTTGAATCACGTGTGGTATCCCTATATCTATGATACTGTTGGTACTTCTGGTAATGAAATTCTGCTAGACAGAATGTCAGTGGCATTTTTTTTTCTTCTTGTTAAACACGACTGCAATCTGACACAATTAGGGAGCCCAGTGACTAGTGAGGAATTCATTGTGTGTGCACGTATGCGCATGCACACACACTACACTTACTACACTTACAGATACAAAGTTTCTGACTGATTGTTTTTGTTTTTTTTCTTTATTTTAAATGTTGAACCTGATTAATGTATTAGTATCATTTGCCAGGCACTTTTTTTGTGGAAGTAATTTCTATTAACTCTTGGGGCTAGAGGTAGTAGCCTTCATCTAAACTAGTACTTACATTAGAATAACCTACTTTCCACTCTAGGAATAGTTTATTATATGATTGGGTTATTATTAAGTTTTCCACTGCATGTCTTTAAGAGCAAACGTGTTCCTCTACAAATGCAGCGCAGTCTGTCTGTGATATATTGATCTTTCTTCTGCTATGGCCTCTCCTGTTACCGGACTGTGGCTGCTAACATATCTGCAGAGTGTTTTATGGGGTCTGGAGTACAGCGTTTGAAGCCAAGAAATTGAAAAAAGAATACAAAATGAAACTGGAGAAAGGGAGGGAATCAAGTCAAGGTCATATCTATATAAAAAGGGTTTAGTGATAATAATGCCAAGAGAGTCAGGTTTGTGTATAGGAAGTTCTAGAAAGCCTGCCTAATTTCAGAAGACTCAGCCAAGAGTTTTTACCACATAAATTCACAAAAGCAACTGGGCATTGGTGGCTCACACCTGTTATCCTGTATACTCAGGAGGCTGTGATTTGAGGATCACCGTTTGATGCCAGCCCAGCCAGTAAAGCCCTTGAGACTTTAATCTCCAGTTAACTACAAAATGCCCAACGTGGAGCTGTGGCCCAAGTGGTAGAGCCAAAGAGCCAAGTGAGAAAGCAGTTCCCTGAGTTCAGTACCAGCACCTCAAAATTAATGAATCAATTCACAAAATCGTGAACAGCTTAGCAAACACTCTGCCATTCTCTGTGATGCTGTTGGACCACATGCTTTTATCATTTGTCTACCTGCAAGTGATTTCATTGCCCACAGGGCCAAAGGTGTTTACGAGAGAACTCGCACAGATGGTTCTGCTGTGGAAAATTAGGAAGCCTGTTTTTTTTTTTTTAAATAAAATTGCATTTTCAATGGTGCCAGTAATGCATAGCTGGAGAAAATGTTCTGTGGCCATTTCCAGTGATGTGGGGGTGAGGGGTGGTCTGATGTGAGAGTGGAAACAAGTTTGTAACTTTCACACATGTTTCTCTTCTCTTCCAGCACATCAGGTCCACCCATCTGGCCGGGCAGTACCTTCTTCAAGAGAAACGGAGCCCTTCTGCAAGGTAAGTGTCTAGGAACGCCTTCTCTTCTTCTTCCTCCTCCTCCTTCTCCTTCCTTCCTCCTTTGTGTGTGGTGTGAGGTCTCTTCTGTTTATCGTGGCCTCTCTCTGCAGAAGTGCGGCTGTCATGGACTGGGCCCTAATTCCTACGTCTCTGTATTTCTACCTACTAAAATCTCTTGGTTGCTGAAAGTTGTAAGTCTGAAACTAGGCCCTCTAGGCTTGTGTCACGGGTCATATTTGAGAAGTGTGGGGGCTTTTTTGCCGGAATCGGAATTACATGAGAAATTTGGAATATGACCATAGCGTGCGCTGGGCTGGACTTCAGTGTTTCCAGTACTTGAGTTGATCGAGCCTGGTTTGGGTGATCTGTCATCATGGAGTCACGCTTGTTCCTTGGACTCTATACCCCCTCCCACTATTCCTGAGTGTCCAGGAGGTTGACTCTGGTTGCTTTCGTGGTACAGAGTTTAGGTCCCCTCATTTGTTCCCGCAGAAGTCATTTTCTCGGGGGACTTCTCCATCCCCAGCCACTGTGTACTAGCTCCTATCCAGTGTGCTCAGGGAATTCAAACCGTACCAAAGTTAAAGAATAAATGGTTAAAAATATCCCAAAGGTGCATTCCAAATGCTTCCAGAAATTCCCTAGAGATGTTGGCTCTTGTGGCTATATGTGCTCTACAAAATCGGCCCCCACACCCCCAGCATCCTGTCCCCTTTAGGTTCCATCAATTGAGCTGGAAGCCAGGTGGCACAGCTACCCAAGCAGGTGGGTTTGGTTGTTCTAAGCGCCTTGGAACTCTACTGGCATTTGATGAGGGCTTTCGTGTCTTTTTGTTGGCTTAGAGATGTGTTTGCCTCTGTCCCTTAAAAGGACACGCAGAGGCTAGCAACCAGTGTCAAGAAGAATATTATTAATGTGTTGAAGAAAACAGACATTTATCTTCAGGTTTCTGGAGTAGCTTGACAATCGTGAGAGATGTCCTTGTGTTTTGTGTTGTTTTATAGCCCAGGCAATTGCCTCTTGGCTTTCTAATAGTCTGTGTAATCAGAAACTTAAAAATTCCTTGACTTTATTTGTTTTTTTTCTTTAAGTAATGGTGAAATTTAGGCTTGCAAGATTGATTAATCCTAATATTTGATAGTCATTGTAGATATCCTAAATGTGTAAGACAATAAAAGGGATTACCTTCACTCTCAAAAATTAATATTATTCCAAGAGGAAAAAAAATGGATTCTGTTCTCTCAGATTGTTTAAAGAGAAACCAACCACAATCATCTTCAGGGGTTTTCTCAAGTGGATTTCAAAGTTCTGTGCATCTTCCTTGCTAACGTTTGTGTTATTTTGGAAATGGGATTTCATTTTCTTAAGGCCTTTTCTTGTCAGAATTTTTATTCAATAAAGGATTTGCACTTTGCATATTAGTTTTCTGTTTGCTTCTATTGGTCAGAGACTTGGGAGAGAAGCATAGATAAAATTTCTGGAATTGAATGGATGCAGTGTGACATTTCTCATGGGTGCACCACAATCCTTTGCTCTCAGCCTAGGGAGTAGCTAGGATTACAGGCATGAGCCACTGGTTAAGCTGCGTTTTTTTGTTGTTGAAAATCAGGAGACTGTTCATGAGTTTAGGGGTTTAGGTGGGGACTTGGTATCATTGTTATTATTATTTTTTCAATGTTTCATCATTTTACTGTGCCTGTCCAGAGTTCTTGAGACCTTTTAGTGTGGTAAAGTGTTTCAACTTATATGAGTACCATCTCCCCCCTCTCTTTTTCTTACAGACAGACAGACAGATAGATGATTGATTAGATAATTAGGTGTAGATATATGTGTGGTACTGGGTTTCCCTGTATGTTCAAATGCCCATAAGCAACCTCAAAATAATGATACAGGTATACAAAGAAGGGAACTGAGCTTGGCACTGATGGCTCATGCCTGTGATCCTAGGGACCCAGAAGGCTGAGATCTAGAGGACCAAAGTTCAACGCAGAAAAGTCTTAGGAGACTCCATCTCCATTTAACCTTCTAAAGCCAGGCTGGAGGTATGGTTCGAGTAGTAGAGTGCTAGCCATGAACAAACATGAGCCCTGAGTTCAAGCCATGGTACCTACAAACAGCCAAAACAAAACTAAGAGGCCTGGTTGTACATGCCTTGCTTACTTATCTCTACTTGCGTGCCTTCCTTTTTCCCAGTAGTAAGAGGACATTTATGTCTGTCTGTCTGTCTGTCTGTCTGTCAGTCCGTCCGGGGACTTGAACTCAGTGTCTGGGTACTGTCCCTGAGCTCCTTTTGTGCAAGGCTAGCACTCTACCACCTGAGTCACAGTATCACTTCAGGCCTTTTCTGTTTATGTGGTACTGAGGAATTGAACCCTGGGCTTCATGCATACTAGGCAAGCACTCTGCCACTGAGCCACATTCCCAGCCCAAGAGGACATTTTTAAACAGTAATCAATCTAGGAAAGAAGTTTGTCACAAGGCAGCCACTTGCAAAGGTGAGTTTTGAGGCCGAACAGAATCAGATGTTTTATTCTTAAGGAGACTGTGGACAGAGACCTACCATGTGTACCGGCCCGGGCTTGAAGGCATATGAATGCAGGCTAGGAAGAGGAGCAGGCATGAAAAGGAAGACACACTGTCTCTGGATGGGAGCAGCGGAGGGACTGTTGCTTCTTGAGAGAATGGACACTTGAACAAGGCCGTGGCATACAGAAGCATGAGTGTGTGGAGTTGGCAGAAGTGGCATCACCAGAGCGGGTACAGCAGGAGAAATGGCATCTCAAAGCAAAGCAGTGGGGACTTTGCAATGGGGAAGATGTGTGTGTGTGCGTGTGCGTGTGCGTGTGTGCGTGTGCGTGTGTGTGTGTGTGCGTGTGCGTGTGCGTGTGTGTGTGGCTGGCTGGTCACGTCGCTAGCTCCCTGTTAGGTCTAAGAAGACCTCAGGTGCACCCTGTCTTACACCGGGCTCCATCCCGTAGATGTGTGATAAGCTGGCACTAC